CTTTTTATGCCTGTTGCGCTGCAGCACTGCTGCAAAAACGCATATTGTGACGACTGTTGGCGTGTTGATTTGTGTGTGTGTGTGTGTGTATGTATGTATGTGTATGCATGCATATGCGTGTGTGTGTGTGTGTATGTATATGCGTGTGTGTGTGTTTGCGTGTATATGTGCGTGTGTATGTCTAGGTATTTCAGTTTGGCACTGTACAGCTTTAGATGCTGAAGTTTTGTCTATATGCTCCCCGACCAGTTGCGAGCCCAGAAACATGACATCAGCTTCTACGCACGTCTGCGTCTCACGGATACCTGAAAGTTTTGGCCGGAAAATTGCTGAAGCAGAAGGTGGGAAAGCTTAGAAGCTAATAGTTTAGGAGGATTTCCCTTGTCTGAGTACTCCCCAGAGGGTTGAAATTTAGCGCATAAGTACTGCTAGGTCTCACGTACGGACATGTGAAAGCTTTGATAGGAAGTTTTCTAATTCGGGAACCAGAGAATACTTCGCTACCTTTGCACGTACACCGTGATGCAGTGGGCATTAACAGCAAATGTCGCCGGACCGAACTGTGCAAAATGCATGATTGCACCAGCTAGTTTTGGTGCACGTCACTGCTTATTTTCGATGTGAATTGACCAAAATTTTTGACTTCCGTCTGTCGGAACTGAGGAGGACGAGAGAAGGAAAGGGATGAACATCCATGAAATCTGCTCTATCGTGGCTCGTATGCTACAAAAAGAATGCTTCTCTGCTTTGGTACTACATTTGATATGAACAAGCCCGATGTGAAAGGGATGGTTATTGGGTACCGGTTCGCCCCCTCCTCGTCGTGCTTTTCCATTATTTTGTTATTCTCTCAACATAATCTGTGACAGTCAACGATTATTCTATTTCCAGTGATCGTGACCAGAGGCAGCGTGAGGAGGCTCTACGAGATTTTCGAACTGGTGCAGTTAAAGTACTTGTTGCCACCGATGTATGTGCTCGCGGACTGGATGTGAAAGATCTTGAACATGTTAGTGTTCAAATTCCATTCCATCACATAAGCTCAGAAATACTTGCGTTACTGAAGCGCAAATGTTAATTTTCATCTCTGTGGGAAAGATTAGCAGGTAATGCATGCAACAGGCGTGACTACGCGGATCTAACAGTGCATTGCTATGAACCGCATTCTAACGGCGCATTTTTCTTGCGTTTCTTTTCGCGGCATTTCTTACACTGCTCAGTTCCATGTAATTTTAGGTGGTTCTTTTTGTTTATCACTTTTTCACCATTTCCGTAGCATCAAATATCACGGAAATGGTGAAAAACTGATGAATAGAAGGCATCCATAGCTTTGAGAAAAGAGAATTGTAACGTTCGGGGAGGGGAGGAGCTGGAGATGGGGCCCTGCC